GTAATGTAGATAGTGCATTAATTTGCTGATGGAAGATTACAAAGCAAACTATCCTAAGTATATCTCCTGCCTCCAGCCACTCCTCCTTGGGCAGAACACATGAAGCAGAAAGGCTCAAGGCCATTGTGGCCATTGTATGCTGTGTCCCTTGCATGCTGAGTCCTAGATGTTGCTCCCCATTCCTCTATTCTCTCCTTGCATATGTCAGTCTCCATGGGATCCAGGCTTAACTGATAAAGCAATGAAGCCTCTGAAATCCCAAACTGTGAGTTACAACCCTGCCTTTTCCATAATAACTATGAAGAAATGTGTGAATGCTGACCGGTCCTTCAAAACTCAGTTGAAACCAATATCTTATTATTTTATTTATTTATTTGATTTATATACCACCCATCTGACAACCAAGGCCACTCTGGGAAGTTTACAGAGTGGGGCTTAGGAAGTGGATAACGCAGCCGTGAAATTGTCAAACCTACAGTTCAATGCATTCCAATGGGGGAGAAAAAAATTCACCAAATATTAACGAAGACTCAGAACAAAGCCAAATTAAGTATGCACAGGTATTGCAAGGTGCACTAATGATCCCAAGCATTTAAAACCGTTTTTGAACATTGTAAGACACACTTAAAATTGCAAAAACGGACATCGTTAAGCGAAACAGGGGGACCTAAACTGTCATCGCTAAGCGAGGCAAGGTCCCGAACATCGCTATGAGAAATTTCCCCATAGGAAACATCGCTAAACGGAGCGTAAAATCGCTCAAAAAAACCCATCGCTAAGCGAGTACATCGTTAAACGAGGCAATCGCTAAGCGAGGCACCACTGTAATGCATTTCAGTACTGAGGGCTCCTGGCTGCCCTGGAAAAATCACCCCTTCTTCTATCGCTCTGAAAGTGTGCCTGCGACTGTCCCGGCAACTTTCTTCTGATTCTTCCAAGAAATTTTAAAAAGGGACTGGTTGTTCTGATTCTTGAATGGCGCCCAACACAAACTCTCTGTGCCTATTTACTTGATACTTGGTAGGCATAATCCACCACACACACACACTGGGGTTGGCATGTCTGGAAAGCTCCCCACTTCTGACAAACAGATTAACACTGAGAACTGCTTGATGACGTTTAATGTGAGTCCATTGGATGCACTAAGATTTGGACTGGAATTTGGATATCAGAACTGTAATCTTGGTCTTTATTCATTCATTACGGTACTTCTTTGCTGATCAACCTCTCATTCCAAGATAGAAACACATGTCTTTAAAAAAATTACCTTTGGTTGACTCATCTTCGATCGGCTGCTTGAATAAAGTGATATCTTTAAAAGTGCACAGGAATAACACCACTTTGTCGTGTTCGTTTCTTATGGGCGCAATTTGCATGTAAAACCAGACAGGTGTTCCTGTAATAAAAAGGACATTAAATAAAATACACCTGATGTGGAGGAAAATAACAAAACAAAGGTGGTCTTGCCATCATAATTACTCCTAATTATTCTGCAGAACAAGTGAGTCCCCCCCTTCAACACACTGAAGCCATATAATGAACACTGCACATAATGGCAGAATAAAGCACTAAAATCTATGGAACTCTAATAGTGCAAACTTTCACTAGACAATGGTGACAACAATGATTTTGGCCATAATAAATTTGTTGTTTAATCGTTTAGTCATGAGCCCATGGACCAGAGCACGCCAGGCCCCCCTGTCTTCCACTACCTCCTGGAGTTGGGCCAGATTCATGTTAGTCACTTCAATGACACTGTCCAACCATCTCATCCTTTGTTGTCCCCTTCTCCTCTTGCCTTCACACTTTCCCAACATCAGGGTCTTTTCCAGGGAGTTTTCTCTTCTCATTGAACTAAAATGGACAGGAATGGGCGAATTCAGCTCAGATGATTATCATATCTACTATTGTGGGCAAGAATCCCGTAGAAGGAATGGAGTAGCCCTCATAGTCAACAAAAGAGTGGGAAGAGCTGTAATGGGATACAATCTCAAAAATGATAGAATGATGTCAATACGAATCCAAGGCAGACCTTTCAACATCACAATAATCCAAGTTTATGCACCAACCAGCATTGCTGAGGAGACTGAAATTGAACAATTCTATGAAGATTTACAACACCTTCTAGAACTGACACCAAAGAAAGATGTTCTTCTCATTCTAGGGGACTGGAATGCTAAAGTAGGGAGCCAAGAGATAAAAGGAACAACAGGGAAGTTTGGCCTTGGAGTTCAGAACGAAGCAGGACAAAGGCTAATAGAGTTTTGTCAAGAGAATAAGCTGGTCATCACAAACACTCTTTTCCAACAACACAAGAGGCGACTCTATACATGGAAATCACCAGATGGGCAATATCGAAATCAGATTGATTATATTCTCTGCAGCCAAAGATGGAGAAGCTCTATACAGTCAGCAAAAACAAGACCTGGAGCTGACTGCGGTTCTGATCATCAGCTTCTCATAGCAAAATTCAAGCTTAGACTGAAGAGATTAGGAAAAACCACTGGGCCACTCAGGTATAATCTAAACCAAATCCCTTATGAATACACAGTGGAAGTAAAGAACAGATTTAAGGAACTAGATTTGGTGGACAGAGTGCCTGAAGAACTTTGGATAGAGGCTCGTAACATTGTCCAGGAGGCAGCAACGAAAACCATCCCAAAGAAAAGGAAATGCAAGAAAGTAAAGTGGCTGTCCAACGAGGCCTTAGAAATAGCAGAGAGGAGAAGGGAAGCAAAATGCAAGGGAGATAGGGAAAGTTACAGAAACTTGAATTCAGACTTCCAAAGAATAGCAAGGAGAGACAAGAGGGCCTTCTTAAATGAACAATGCAAAGAAATAGAGGAAGATAACAGAAAAGGAAAGACCAGAGATCTGTTCAGGAAAATTGGACATATTAGAGGAACATTTTGCGCAAAGATGAACATGATAAAAGACAAAAATGGGAGGGACCTAACAGAAGCAGAAGACGTCAAGACGAGGTGGCAAGAATACACAGAGGAATTATATCGGAAAGATTTGGATATCCCGGACAATGCAGACAATGTAGTTGCTGACCTTGAGCCAGACATCCTGGAGAGTGAAGTCAAGTGGGCCTTAGAAAGCCTGGCTAACAACAAGGCCAGTGGAGGTGATGGCATTCCAGTTGAACTATTTAAAATCTTGAAAGATGATGCTGTTAAGGTGCTACATTCAATATGCCAGCAAGTTTGGAAAACTCAACAGTGGCCAGAGGATTGGAAAAGATCAGTCTACATCCCAATCCCAAAGAAAGGCAGTGCCAAAGAATGCTCCAACTACCGTACAATTGCACTCATTTCGCACGCTAGCAAGGTTATGCTCAAAATCCTGCAAGGTAGGCTTCAGCAGTATGTGGACCGAGAACTCCCAGAAGTACAAGCTGGATTCCGAAGAGGCAGAGGAACTCGAGACCAAATTGCTAACTTGCGCTGGATTATGGAGAAAGCCAGAGAGTTCCAGAAAAATATCTACTTCTGCTTCATTGACTATGCGAAAGCCTTTGACTGTGTGGACCACAGCAGACTATGGCAAGTTCTTAAAGAAATGGGAGTGCCTGACCACTTTATCTGTCTCCTGAGAAACCTATATGTGGGACAGGAAGCAACAGTTAGAACTGGTCATGGAACAACTGAGTGGTTCAAAATTGGGAAAGGAGTACGGCAAGGCTGTATATTGTCCCCCAGCTTATTTAACTTATATGCAGAATACATCATGCGGAAGGCTGGACTGGAAGAAGCCCAAGCCGGAATTAAGATTGCCGGAAGAAATATCAACAACCTCCGATATGCAGATGATACCACTCTTATGGCAGAAAGTGAGGAGGAATTGAAGAACCTTGTAATGAGAGTGAAAGAGGAGAGTGCAAAAAACGGTCTGAAACTCAACATCAAAAAAACTAAGATCATGGCCACTGGTCCCCTCACCTCCTGGGAAATAGAAGGGGAAGATATGGAGGCAGTGTCAAATTTTATCTTCCTGGGCTCCATGATCACTGCAGGTGGAGACAGCAGCCCTGAAATTAAAAGACGCCTTCTTCTTGGGAGGAAAGGGATGACAAATCTTGACAGCATCTTGAAAAGCAGAGACATCACCTTGCCAACAAAAGTCCGAATAGTCAAAGCTATGGTTTTTCCTGTTGTGATGTATGGAAGTGAGAGCTGGACCATAAAGAAAGCAGACCGCCGAAGAATTGATGCCTTTGAATTGTGGTGCTGGAGGAGGCTCTTGAGAATCCCCTGGACTGCAAGGAGAACAAAACTATCAGTTCTAAAGGAAATCAACGCTGAGTGCTCACTGGAAGGACAGATCCTGAAGCTGAGGCTCCAGTACTTTGGCCATCTCATGAGAAGAAAAGAGTCCTTGGAAAAAACCTTGATGTTAGGAAGGTGTGATGGCAAGAGGAGAAGGGGACGACCGAGGATGAGATGGCTGGACAGTGTCTGCGAAGCAACCAACATGAACCTGACACAGCTCCGGGAGGCAGTGGAAGACAGGAGGGCCTGGCGCGCTCTGGTCCATGGGGTCACGAAGAGTCGGACACGACTAAACGACTAAACACACACACAACAAGGATCCTGAAGTTTGGAATTCTCTTGGAACCTGTGCCAAAGTTTGTAGTGGCTTTGCAGGAGGTAAAGTCTGCTTTTTATAGCACCTTCCAAAGTGTGTGGCTGATACAGCAAATGAATCCTAATGCTGGTTCAAAAATGTCCAGCATGGGCATGGATTAGGGTCAGGTTGTGGGCAGGCGTGTCATGTGCTTGTCAGGAAGTAACATCCAGTGGGCTGCACAATAGGTAGTCCAAAATGTGAACTCAGTTAATACCCACACATCCAATATTGTCCTGTTCATACAAAACCCTTTCTTTTTTTTAATGTCAATTCCCCAAACCTCCTAAAAATATTTCAAACAGGTGACTAGAAGATCCTAGGAGTTACATTCCAAACCAGGGAACTGAATCCTTTTAATAAACCAAGCCTGCAGAAAGTCTTTCTGACTATGTGTTGGAGAGAGAGGTGTGTGTTGTGTACGAGTGAATGATTTCAGGATTCTGCTTGGCAGCCAACTGGAAACACGAGAATGGCAGCTCTTGAGACCATGACCCGCATGGTTGACTCCGGAGATTTGCCTTAACAAGTGCAAGCACTGCAGAAAAGAGCAGATAACCAGAAACTCAAAGGACGAGAGGTTGCCATCAAGAGCAAAGAAGGGCACTTCAAGAATTTGTGCCATCGTCTAGAAGTGTTGATTTAAATTCAGAGAGCTCAAGAGCTTCATGGAAGAGGAACTGCTCTACATACAGAACATCTCAGACTCAGCCCCGTCCCTTGCTAGTTCCAAATAAATCAATACATCTAGGAACATTTAACAGAAAAGACCCTTTCCTGACATTTTGAATAGGTGGTGCTTCAGAGAACAGTAGGCAGTGGATGAGAGAGTGACTTCTCATTCTCTGCCTACTAGTGGAAGTTACTGAGAGTTAATCATGCAGAAAAGGAACTTCTCCAAACTCCAAGCCTGAGATAAATCAGCCACAATGGTTGGAGGGTATTGGAAATTCTGGTGTAAAAAAAAATTAGGTTTTCCAAGTTGTGACCTCGGATAGATGAATACAGAGTCTGACCAGTGAGAATAAACACCATATGTTCAGGGCAGCATAAGACCAATCAGAACATCAGGTTTGCCCTGTATTTTGACCAGAGGCCATTTCCAAGAGTGTTCTTAGAACAGTAGCTCTCACACGAAATGCCAAGTGCAGCCAGATGATCAAGATTTAAAAAGTTATCCATGGGACAGGAAAAAAAATAGACCGTGAGAAGTAACCAGGGCTGTATGTAACCCAAGGCAAGGCAACTGGGGCTTTGCCTAAGGGCCCCCACATGTAGAGAGCACCAAAATCTAGATGCGTGGCTGTGAAGGAGTGTTAGGAAAATTAATGGCAGCTTCTTTTGGCCCTAAGCACCTTGAAGGCATAAACTTTGTTTCCCTTTTGGGAGGCATCCCATAGTATTATCCTACCCCTCTTGCAGGCCGAACATGACCACATTCTCCTCCTCCTTTTTCTTGGGGTTGATCCGTGCCCATCCCTCAGGGGGTGCAGCTTGTCCTGGGTGGTAAAAATTACTAGTTCCAGCTCTGCAGGTGACTCTGATATAACTATCACTCTCAGACATCTCGTGAAGCTGATGGAATTTGGGCTGGACAAAACACAAACTTGCTGTTGTAAGAATTGGTGGTTGACCCTAGCTCAGATACCTTCAAAATGAGGAGTTAGACTAAGAAGACTTGTCAGCCTGCCTGCCGATAGTCATCAGAGCTTCAAGGGACCTCCACGCTCAGCAGCCGTAGGTCTTCGGATATCCAGAAAAAGGATTCCTCCAAACATAGACATGTTCACTCCATTGAGCTTCCAAAGAGTGGTGTGCTGGTTGCTCAACTACTCTTTAAAATCCCAAAAATTCATGCACTCCTGCTTTCAGAATATGCTATGGGGGTTGGTTTTGCCTCTTCTCCTTTACTGGAAGGTATGTTGGTTGTTGGCCATACAAATAAGTGTGAAGTGTCAGTTACTGGGGCAATAGCTGCTAACCTTACAAACACACTCCTTTTGTGTTTTGCTTGTGGGCTTCCCAAAGTGGGTGTGAGGAGGAAGAGATTGCTGAACCAGAGAGAACTGCAGTTTGATCTAACATGGATCTTCTTGTATCCAGGGCTCACATCTAAGAATACTTAACACGGATCAGTAAACAAACACTTTAATACGACTTTGCCAAACTCCTCTCAGTTCCGTTTAGAAATAGATTCTAACTCTGGAATATGCAGCTTTCTTCAGCTCTCTGCATGGGCTAATTCATGTCCAGGAGTTGGTCTTGAAATAGATGAAATTCAGAAGGATTCCCGCACAGGTCAATAATTCCATTTCGCATTCTGAGCAGGACAAGAGCTTTGGTGAGAAGCTCAGTGGTTTAGGTCTCTGGTGGCGGAGCCAGAAGTTGGGAGTTCAATTCCCCACTGGGCCTCCTCGAGAAGACTCGATGATCCATAGGGTCCCTTCCAGCACTGAAGTTCAACGGTGGTGGTGATTAATTCACTTGTCTCCAAGCATTATGAGAGAGGCATATTTGTCTTCCTCACCAGAGTGAGCTTGGAAAAATGACTTTCCATATGTTGGTTATTATGGGTTTTTCAGGCTCTTTGGCCGTGTTCTGAAGGTTGTTCTTCCTGATGTTTCGCCAGTCTCTGTGGCCAGCATCTTCAGAGGACTGGAGTAGGAACACTGTCCGTGCTCTGTTGGTGTTTGTTGGATAGTTGACTACAGAATTTATAGCTGTGGGAAACAGCTTTTGTCTTTTTTCAGGAAATAGGGTGATCAGCATGTTTTTGTTGTGATAAGGGAGGGGGGGGAGGGATTATCTGTCACTGTGATCGATGGGTGTCGTTAGCTGGTCTTTTTTGTGCAATGATCCCTGGCCAAAGAGCACGAAAAACCCACAACAACCATTAGATCCCAGCCGTGAAAGCCTTCGCAAATACATTTCCAAATGTTGTTGTGACTTCTTCCACTGATACTATTAACTTCCATGGTCTTGTTGCACCTTGAAATTATAGAAGTAAACGTGGTAAAAGGGTGCTTTACCCACCCATTGAAGGCACAGCCGTAGGTAAAATGGGAAGTTGCCAGACATGACATGGAGAGGCTTGTCTTCAAGTCACTATTCAACCTTAAGGCTCATTCGGTGATCTTAAATCAGCCACCAAGCGGCAAGTCACACGTTCATGAATCTTTCCTGCTTTGGAAGATGTTTCTTCCCAGTAACATGGTCACCTTTGCTTTGCCTGACTTTAGAATGATATATTTTTGAAGATTTGAACAAGATTTGTGAAATGTTCAAAATGAAGCGTGGGAAGGCAGAAATGATTTTCCTTGTCCCTTTTCCCTGGTCCTCAGCCAATCTCTCCTTTTCTTTTGGTCAGGCTAAGAATGCAATCATCACTCCAGATGGAGATTGCAGCTAAGAAATCAGAAGAAGAGGTGTTTTTAAAATGAAGCGTGGGAAGTCAGAAATGATTTTCCTTGTCCCTTTTCTCTAGTCCTCAGTCAATCTCTCCTTTTCCTTTGGTCAGGCAAAGAATGTGATCATTACTCCAGATGGAGATTACAGCTAAGAAATCAGAAGAAGACTGAGACTAAGAAGGGCAACAATGAAGGAACCAGAAAAGATCATCAAGTGTAAGGATGTGTCACTGGACACCAAGATCAAGACCATCAGCACTCTTGTGTTTTTGATCACTATGCATGGATATGAAAGCTGGACGATTAAGAAAGCTGACGGGGGGGGGAATGATTTGTTTGAAATGTGGTGCTGGAGGTAAGCTTTGCAGAGATACCCTGGACTGCTCAAAAGACAATCAAGTGGGTCCTAGATCAAATAAGATACCCTGGACTGCTCAAAAGACAACCAAGTGGGTCCTAGATCAAATCAAGCCTGAAATATCTCTGGAGGCAAAAATGTTGAAACTGAGATTGTCCTACAGTACTTTGGGCACATCCTGAGATGACAGGATTCTCCGGAAAGGACAATGATGCTGGGAGAGGTGGAAGGCAGCAGGAAGAGAGGAAGACTGACTACACAACGGACTGACTCCCTAAAGGAAGCCAAAGGTTTTTGTTTACAAGAGCTGAACAGGGCAGTTGGAAGACAGAACCTTTTGGAGGTCACTCATTCAAAGGGTCACCATCAGTGGGAGGCAACTTGAACAGGACAGAACAACATCAGTAAGGAATGCAAGAGGAGCCCCTCCCCCTCAATCAGATCAATGGTCCATATAATCCAGAATCCAGACTGGTCACAGGTACCATCAGATATGGACACATAACCCCAGTCTTGGTATGCCTTCACTGGTTCCCTCTTAGTTTCCTTTACCCGATTCAAGGTGCTGGTTATGACCCACAAACACCTTAACGCTTTAGGACCTCAATACTTGGTGGATCGTCTCTCCCACAAAAATAACTATCCCTCCCACCTGTTCCTCACAGCCCTTGATGCTAAAAATCAGGACACCCAAGGAGGCCAAAATAGCCAGCACCAGGAATGGAACTTTCTCAGTTGTGGCCCATTCCCTCTGGAATACGTTTCCTACAGAGCTTTGCCAAACCACTGAAGCTTAGCTCATCCCCATTTCTAGTTTTCATCCATGCAATTTTGTTTAAAGGCAGGTTTATTGGTTTAGCTAGCAATGGAGTTTTTATTGTATTTATTATACACTGCAGTTTTTATCATATGATTTTATTCCAGGTTGTGAACCACCTAGAGAGTGTTCGCACTAATGGGAAATGGAAATAATAAAAACTAAATATATTAATTAAGGGGAAAAGGAGAAAGGAAACAAGATGAAAAAAGCTAAATATTTTCCCCTCTTCCCTTCCATTTCTTTCTCCCTTGTAATTCTGCCAGCCTGTGGAAACAGACTAACACAGTACTTAACTGGATATTAGTAGTAACAGTAGCATAATTACTTCCATTTCTTGTGTGATTTTTTTTCTGGGGGGGGAGGCTTAACTCTAGACATGTTACAGATAAAATATTTTAAATGATCAAAGCCATTCATAATGGAAAGTTACATCTCTCTTTAAAGTATAAGGTTAATAAACTGACCTAAAGGAAATCAATCCTAAGTGTTCACTGGAAGGACAGATCCTGAAGCTGAGGCTCCAATACTTTGGCCATCTCATGAGAAGAGAAGACTCCCTGGAAAAGACCCTGATGGTGGGAAAGTGTAGGGACAAGAGGAGATTGGGACGACAGAGGATGAGATGGTTGGACAGTGTCATCAAAACTACGAACATGACTTTGACACAACTCTGGGAGGCAGTGGAAGACAGGAGGGCCTGGCGTGCTCTGGTCCATGGGGTCACGAAGAGTCGGACACGACTTAATGACTAAACAACAACAAAGCTGATAGTTCAACAGGGAGATTACATCGTATCAAATGCTGGGAAGGAGATGGGGTGTCTTAACTGGATACCAAAGAGATAAAAAAGTTGGGGCCAAATCGACCTCCTTAGAAAGAGCATTTCAAAAGAAGGAAGCCACCACTAAGGCTATCTCCTCCATCTTTTGAATATGGGTAGTACCATTTTGGCTGCACAACATTCGACACTTGAAAAATCAGTCTGCCATTAAAATGTGCTTTCAAATGCAACAGAATCTGCATAATTTCATACATACTGTTTTTCTTGTACAGGAGTATTTCGAAGCAGTTTGATTCATAGTTGTCAAACGTGTGTCTGACTTTTTCAATGGTTTTCTTATCGGTGAGTTCCCCATACATAAAACTGGAGGAAGACATAAAAGAAATGGAGGCAGAAGAAGAAAATGAGAATTCTTGTTGGCTTTATAACAAGAACAACATATTTGTAGACATTTTTATAGTTTGGACTGTAGCATAACTGCAGCCTACATATGCTTAACTCTAATTTACAGCTTGTTTTCCTCAACATTTAGTTACAAAGACCCTCTGAAGCAAATATAGGTGGCAAGCTCCCTTCTTTGAGGGAAGATTGATATTCAGGCCGTAGAGTGTTCAATTTGAGGGGTAGCTTGGGTATACTTCAAGAATCCACTAAACTAAGAGAGAGCATGAGTTAATAATACCTAAAAGTGTAATATTCCTAATCTTGTCCCACACAACACAAGAGACACACAGAGAGACAGAGCTCCAGAAGACCCTTTTTTAAAGAACAGCATTTTGTCCCAGGTTTGTAAGGTCTGATGCGGGCCTTCACACTCACATTTTGGGGTCTTGCCTCTTAGACTTTCAACCGGCCATTTCATGAAATAGAGCCTTGACAACCTGCCACCATTGTAGTATGTGCCATTTAGACATGCTCAGAATTACTCTTTTTTATTATCTTGCATGTTCTAGAGTTGTAGCTGCACAACAAATTCATACACCAGCCTATGGATTGATCCAGCTTCTCTACCTTGCCTATCTATCAGGCACACCCAGTTTTATAATTCTTGCTAAAGGGTTTGCCCCTTGAGGGTAGACATGGCATTCCAAGGTCAAGATATGGGTGTATACCGATCCCAGATCTCTGGAAATAATCAAGCCACACAAAGGATTCTGGAGAAATTGAAACCTTGAATATTTTGTGAACTTGTGGTTGATCTTAATAAGGTTATTCTTTGCCTGTGAATTTCGGGCTGATCTACCTGTAGATTTTGGGTTCATCCACTTACACATGAATACATTTTTTTTCTTTATGGGACTTCAAAAAATGAATCAGAGCTGAACTAAATGAGCTCCGTTGTCTTTAGACTTCCCTTCATTCTGAAATGAATAGACAGCTTCTCTTTAAAACAGAAAGTTTCTAGCTACCGGGCAGTCACTTGTTATGCTAAATAGCAATTTCAAAAATCAAAAATCCAAAAGGATCTCCCTTACACCAAGCAGAGTAATCCACGAGACTTACCTGCAGGTGCTACTTTTCTGCATGACGTCCGCTCGGTGGTATCCAGAGAGTTTACAAAATCCGTCATTACTATATACTACAGGCCAGTCCACGATTTGAGCATTCCCCAGCAAAAAACTTGATTCTGCATGAAAAGAAGGAAAGACAATACTGTACTGAAATTCGCTGCCACATCAAATGAAAGGCACTGCAACAAAATGTGGTAGTGTGGACTACAGAAATTGAGCCACCTTGGCTCCAAGATCTTCCATCCCATTGCCACCACTTTCCCAGTTTTATATTCTTCTCTGCTACCAGATGCTCAGCTGTCTCTGCTCAGTTCTCAATGGGCTGTTTTTAGGAACCCCTTTTGCCTTGCCTCCTTAAACATTATTTTTAAGGTACATCTGCAAGCATGTAGAGTCCCCCAAACCTGCCTGTTTCTCCTTCTTGTGTGCGCATCATCGTGGTATTAGCTGAGCTTGGAAAAGGTGGCCTTTTTGGACTTAAGGCTACCAAATTTTTAAAAAAAGCCATTCCACCTGAGGAATTCTGTAAGCTGTAGCCCAAAAGTATGTTTCTGAAGCTCTGGCTATGGGTTTACACATGATAATAGTACCATCATCATAAAATTAAAGTAGCAGAGTTGGAAGGGACCCTGTAGATCATCAAGTCCAGCCCCTGCCAAGGAGGCACAGCGGGGAATCAAACTCCCAACCTCTAGCTCTGCAACTGGAGACCTAACCCTCTGAGAGATTCAGCAGTTCATGTTAGGGATAGTAGGCATGATCATCACCTAAGTACTTGTGTGTAGACTAACAGATGAGAAGTCAAATCACCATCTACAGCCACTCATTACAGACTCCCTTACATCTGATTTTCCATATATTTATTCATTGTCCCCTTTCCAACCCACCACTAATAATAACTGCTATTCACAACCTTCTGCCATCTTATTGATAGTCCAGAGGATACCTTGAATACACCCATTAGTTACCCCCATTCATATTATTCTAATGAATGCCATCTTTCCACTCTATTATTATCTGGAATGTATTCACTTTCATCGTTAACTTATTAAAAGAAATGGATGCTAGTTAAAAAAAACATACTGTACTTGGTTTGATTCTTCCCTTGTCGTTAAGCTACCTTAAGACAGTTTTTCCAAACTGCCTGTAAGCAAAATCTTATTATGTCACACGGACAATGACTAGTCAACACCATTTTCCAACCTTTTACTATATTACAAGACAAGTTATTACAATACTGAATCAAACAAGTTCTTTGTACAAAAGGGGTTGTTTTCCCCCTCAGAGAGGCTTAATAAACATAGCTTGGAATCTTTTACTATCATCTTTTTTCAAAATAAAAGAGACAAATCTTCAATTACTGTATTCAGTTTTTAAAGTTCTGACAATTAGACGATTCCATCGCATATGCTGGTCTGTGCCCCTGAGTCAACAGTCTCTCCAATACAAAACTGTTCCTGAATTCTACCATTCTAGAAATTTTATATCATGTTCTATAATATTTATGTCACTGAACTGACACATAAAAAGTTTCTGAGACCAAATTTTGGCCAAAGGGTCATCTGATAGTTTCTTGAAAATCTGATTCCTAACTCATTTTAAGTACTTTTCCACTGGCTATTGTTTTTTTAAAAAGGGATGTGGTGGAAAAAGGGACGTGGTGGCACTGCGGGTTAAACTGCAGAAGCCTCTGTGCTGCACGCTCAGAAGACCAGCCATTGTAATATCGAATCCACGCAATGGAGTGAGCTCCTGTCGCTTGTCCCAGCTCCTGCCAACCTAGCAGTTCAAAAGCATGTAAATGCGACTAGATAAATAGGTACCAGCACGGTGGGAAGGTAACGGCGTTCTGTGTCTAGTCGTGCTGGCCACGTGACCATGGAAACTGTCTACGGACAAACACTGGTTTTACGGCTTGGAGACAGGGATGAGCACTGTGCCCTAGAGTCGGACATGACTGGACTAAATGTCAAGGGGAACCTTTTACCTATTGTTTTAGTAAGAAGGAGACTACGTATATGGTCTGAATATCAGTTCCGTGAGATTATCAGAGCCAATCAATCCAAATTTGTCCAACTTTTAATAGCTATCTGTTTTATTTGTACTTATTCTATGAAACACTCGGATATTTCATTTGGAAATGTCTATCTTTTCAAATCTTATATAGGTACATTTATCTTACATCGGTACAAGACATGATACAGTTGGGGCTGTATGTAGTCTCTCAGCTAACCGCTGCCTGCAACCTGGTCTAAGCGCATGCAAGAGCTTGCAAGAGAATTATTTATTATCTTATTTAAAATATTTTTACTTTAATGGAATTGTAAAATCTTAAATGGTATGAAGGCACTTTTAAAGGGCAGTTAATTAGTTGTGGTTTAAGGTTGCTTTAATTGTATTTTTTTTCCACACAATTATTCTGAAGTAATTATTGTTACATAACAGCACTGATGTTATGCAAGAAACAAAAACTAGCACATCACTGATAAAGGTTCCAGCTCAGTCTATACTTTGCATGCTACATTACTACTTTTGGGGACTTCTAAGTGTTTCTGTCTTGTTTCATGCTTCTTTCAGTCTGTTCACCAAGAAGGGGACCGTACTGCAATGGATGCAGGAAAATGGGCTTAGGCTGAACCCGGACAAGATGGAGGTTCTGAGGGTGGGTGCCCCTGTGGTCGGCGGCTTGGGTGACGCTCTCTCATTTGGGGAGGTGTGACCTTGGCCGCAAAGAGTGGGGTGCACAGCTTGGGGATCCATCTGGACCCGACGCTCACCATGGAAACACAGGTGGCGTCGGTAGTCCGCACCGCCTTTTTCCATCTCTGGCGGATTGCCCGGCTGTGACCCTACCTTGATACGGGGGCGCTGACCATCTTGGTGCATGCGCTTGTAATCTCAAGATTAGACCACTGCAACGCGCTCTACATGGGGCTGCCTTTGAGGCTGATGCGGAAACTCGAGGTGGTGCAGAATGTGGCGGCCAGACTCCTTAGTGGAGCGAGAAAATACCAGCATATTTCTCCTATTCTGGCTGCACTGCATTGGCTGC